AGATCTTGGCCGGCAGGACGACGGACGAGAGGCGGCTGTTTAAGCGCTGGGAGGTTGATCGATCGGTCGCTGGCTTGGCGGCTTCTCGACGGGACCACCAGACGAGTCGAGGCGGCGTCCCGGACAGGCTGGCCCCGCCGGCCGGCTCTGCTTTCCAAAAGAGTGACGATTCTGGAAGCGCTAGTTCCGTACAGCCTTGCTGTGCAACTGTGGTCAAATAGAGCAGAATTGTAATGCCCAGCCAGCGCACAGTGTGGCTCATGGTGCGCCCGAATGCACTCCGTCGGGCCGGACGCCGATTTCCCGCCTCAACGGCTTCGCCAAGGCAAATTCGCAAAGTGAGTGAGCTTTCCTCAGTCGTACTCACTGATTGGTCCATTCCGGGGCCGAGACGAGTCCTCGACACTCCTGTCGCTCTGTCCCCTTTCGGACGACGACCAAAAGACGACCTGCTTTGACCGTGTCCCTCCCCTTCGATCCGGCCACTGGTCGAGTGGAGCGGCTAACAGTCAATGTGTCCAGCTCGCCTTCCATGGTCGCTTCTCGGTCGGCCCGGAGACCGTGCGACCTCGGCACATCAGCATCGGCTTGACTTCGCCTTGGCAACTGGGTCGGAGGCACAGTAAGACCTGGCGTAACATGCGGCCAGTCCTGCGTCGTCTGTCCGCGTGGTCGTGAGTGTGTCCAACATTAAATCCTCGACTTGAGGCACTCTCGTGAAGCATGGAGGCACTTCGACACTCTGCCCGAAACTCACACACTGGACGTCTCTTTTAGGATGATTATAAATAATAAGGGTTGTGTGACGCATGGAACATCGAGATTTATTTGTGGTCAACTCGGACCAAAAGTAACTGGGTTCCGATGAATCTACAGAGCTAACATTTTTAAAGAGACTTTCATTTCGTATGCAAGTGCATGAAGAAGAGATCCGGAAGGCGACGGCTGGTTTCCGTTGTATTGCAGCCATTTGGCTTAAATACCATGTTCGGGTCGACGCATTCAACGAGACATTCTCTCTCGTTTCAGGTGAAAATGGGCTGAGCCTTCGTCCATCATGTCACGACGGAGCCATCAGAGCTGGAGGTCATAGTAAAAGTCTCACGTTAACATTAGGTCAAGCATACTGTCCGGCTCTATCTTGCCTCATATATACTCAACTAGAAAACGAAAATGTATAGACATACAATTCTTTTACTAATTATCTTTCCTGCTGGTCATGCTAACTTTGCTCGAATGTGTGTGTGTGTGCATGTTCGCGTGTATACGTAATACCGATCATAAATCAGGGTGATCAAAAAAGTATAATAGTGCTGGCTAGGGTTGATTAAAGCTGATCAAAGAGAATAATCATGAGGTAATCTTGTCGTTTGACCTTTCTCAATTGTTGTAAATGTTACGGCAATTTGATGAGAAAATATCATTCCGATAAGGCCAATGCTATATATTTTATCAAACTATGCAAAAATTCTGAAAGACCGTTTGTACTCGCCTATGCACGAAACCCGCAGTGTAATCGGAGTGATGGTTATAACATGTATGTAGAAAGAGAGAGATAGGGGTCAGCAAACCTTGATGGACCAAGACAAACGTTCATTTTTGCTGTCCTAATTACTTTGTGAGTTTTCTTGACTCGTTAGCTTGAATTTTGTTGTGACGATGATACCTTGCTCTGATGATGTTCGTCA